AAGCTAAGGAATATATGTTTTGCTATGAAAGGAGCAGAGTTAATAGGCACTTTATCACAAGCACTTAGCAGTCAACAAAATAGACCAAAAAATACCTGTCCTTGAGCATGCTTTTGGAGTAGAGAGAGACTAAGTAAAATACATATTACACTAGTGAGTTCAATGGAGAGAAAACAAGATGGAGTAAGAAATGTTGGGAGGTTGTAATTTTAGCTTTTTTCTGAAGTTCTTATAATGGATTCTAGGGCCTGGTGCATGTTAAGCAAGTACTCTACCACTGAGCTGTACCCTCCCAGCCCAGGAGGTTATAATTATTAAAAGAGATAGTCAGGGAAGGCCTACCTGAGGAGGTGATACTTAAGAGAAGATAGTGGGGTAACATAAAGGTTTCCGAAGAGAGTGTTTTATTTTAGGTAGAGGGAATGGTGTATGTATATACCTTGAGATTGGATTCTTGCAGTAGTAATTAGATAAGTGAGTGTTTTGGAGAGAGTAGCAAAATAGTGATACTGTGTTGTGCATATTGAAATTTGAGGTACTTACGGAACTTCCATGGAGTGATGACCAGTAAGCAGTTCAGGATAGGCTGAGTGAGACTGGAAAGAAGTCTTAGGGCCACCCCATCACTGGTAGAACTGGAGTTGTGGGTGTGGAGATTCTCTGGGAATCGTGTATGAAATGAGGTGAGTAGAGAACTGAGGAAGGGGCCCTGGTTAGGACAAATGTTGTGTAGAGATAGAAGAACAGCCTGCAAAGAAGATTTAGGATTAGACACTCCCTACCTGTAGGTGCTGGGGAGGGTAGGGCTATTGAAGCTGGGGCAAGGCAGAGTCTGACTTCTGTGTCTTCCTCTTCTCTGCCAGCTCCCAACCAAAGCCCTTGAATACAGTCATCTTCCCCTCTGCCCACATGTTTTAGTTCAGACCTACCTCATTTTTTGCTAAGACTATGATTCTGATAATAGTCTATTGTCTAGTCTCCTTACTGCTTAAACCTATTTTTGCTGGTCAGACTTCTACACTTTTGCCATGGCAGTGTGTAAAGTATCTAAACTCTACCAGTGGCTCCCCATCATCTTCAGTATAAAGTCTAACCTTCTCAGCCTGGCATCTTGCCTCTGCCTTATTTTCTCTCACATCCTAAATGTCATGCATTCAAATTGTCTGTCCTTTTCATTTATGTATCTATCTTTTTGGTAGAGGGGATGGAACCCAACCCTTGCTCATGCTAGGTAAGTGCCCGTTATTGAACTGTCTCCTCAAACCCTTGGGTTTTTTTTGAGATAAAGTCTTGCTATATAGCTCAGGCTGATTTTGAACTTTGCAGTGTAGCCCAGACTGACCTTGACTTCAAGGTCCACCTGCTGGTAATAGCCTGATACCTGTTTGTCCTTTTTTAGGACACTGTCTCCAGGTCTCTGTACATGCTTTCCTTACTTCCTGGAATGATTAACTCCCCAGTTCACTAACTCTATAAGATTTAGTTAACGTATTACCTTCTCTGCAAAGCCCTTCTGACTTTTCAAGCAAAACCAGGCTCTTCTTTCTGGGCTAGCTTGCACATCTCTAGTGTGGTCCTAGTGACAATACCTTGTACTTATCTGTTGTTTATTTTGCCTTTTATGAGCTAAAGGACACCAACTTTAGAGGACAGTAACTTTGACATATGGTTTTCTTGTGTTGGCTTAGAGTAATAAATACCAATTAGAGTAGTTCTCAAAGTGTGTCATCCCTGGAACCACACTTAGCATTAGCACTATTAGGATCATGCAGCTCTTCAGTCCCACTCCATCCTTAATGAATCAGAAACTCAGCAGTCTGTGTTTTTAACACATCCCCAAGTGACTTTGATATATGTTTGAGAACTATCAATTAGTCTAGAAAAATGAATGACAACATTCACTGAGAAGAGCAAAGTCTGGCCTCATCCTAAGTGGGGAGAACTTCTGTATTCAGTCCTTAGAAAAAGGAAATGACCATACTCTACTCATGGTTTTGAGAAGGTGAAGTAGTGAGCACATGAGGTAAGATTGACGGTATTTTTGATGCCTGAATTCAGAATCAAAATTTGTTCTGTGTCTACTTACATAAACCTTTATGGTTAGAAATTTAAGCAACTAAAAGGAAGACAAATGTATTTTCAAAATTGCCTAGCTGGAGGCATGACTCAAGAGGTAGAGTGCCTGTCTAGCAAGTGCAAAGTCCTGAGTTCAAATCCCAGTGCCACACACAAACACACAAAATTGGCCATACTGTCACTGTCAGAGATAGCCACATTATCAATGATTATTTCTAGGTGGTACTATGTTTTTTGTTCTTTTGCTCATACTTGAGTTTTTTTTTATACCTACATATATTTCATTCAGAAATGTTCACGTTTAAGTAATTTGAATATTAAGAAATAAGTAGTGGAGGTGTAGCTCAAGTGTTAGAGCATCTGCTTTGCAAGCATGAAGCCCTGAACTCAAACCTCAGTCTCACCCCAAAAAAAGAAACTTGTTTGAATTTTTTAGTTCTTATGAAGGTATCTTTTCACATTCTTTTTTTAATTGACACATAAATTGCATATATTTATTGTGTACAACATATTATTTTGAAAAATGTATACATTGTGGAATGGCTTAGTCAAGCTAGTATCTTTTTTACTTTGTAACATTTGCAGTAAGAATTAAATACCTGTAATCCCAGCATTCTGGGAGGCTGAGGCTGGAGGATCCTGAATTGGAGGCCAGCCTGGGCCACATGGCAAGTTCCAGATCAACTTGGGCTACATAGTAGAGATCTTGTCAAATAAATAAATAAATAAATAAATAGGAATTAAAGAAATAAGATAAATTGTAGGTCATATGAAATACGTTTTTATATGATTAGGTACTGCCTGTTTTCATAGATATTACCTTTATAAAATAACATTTTTTGGTTGACTTAAGGTTCTGTTATAAGGCTGGGCACTAGGTTTTATATACTATAACATTGTTTCTGAGGTATTGCCAGAATTCAGTTGGTATCATTTTAACTTAAAATGATATCTGAAAGAATGACTTCTTTCAGGAAAGCAGCCTGTCTGTCATAAGGGTAAAGACTATAAAAAATTTTAATTCTTTTCTTCTTCTAGGACAAGCTCAGACTCCTTTAAACATTTTCATGGATCTCCTCATGTGATGACTAGATGTGAATTTTTTTCTTTTTACTTATACTTCTCATAGAAAAACAAATTATAAATTAAATGCTACAAAACAATAGAATTGATAGAATTCAAATAAGCAACATCCGTATATCAGATAACGTTCTGCTGAAACTTAGTGTCTGCATTGGGTTTAGTATTTTATGTATTTCATTTTTTACTGGTTAACTATTTCCCTCTTAAGCATGATAGATCATCTTGAGAATAATCGTCATTATCCCACATAGTACTGTTTTAAACCTTATCTGTTATTTTGATGGACCAGTTTAATATGCACTGTTAAATAGTACTGAATATTCATTTAATGTTACATTCTTTTAAATTAGATAAAATTATATATATTGTGTACAACATGTTTTGAAAGCTCCATTGTGAAATGTCTAAATCAAGCTAATTAGCAAGTTAATCACCTCACATAATTGTCATTTTTGTGATGATAATACTTAACATCTACTTTCTTCATTATATTTTTAACTCCAGTCACTATATTGTACAGTAGGGCTCTTGAACTTATATATTAATGTCAAGTTTTTGATTGCCTGTTTAAGGTTATATTTACTGGAAATAATATTTACCTGAAGTGTTGGAAAATGGCTTATGAAAAGAACCAGTTTTCCCAAGACAATTGCATATGGTAGTAAACGCTCTGGGATTTTGCCTTCCTCCTTCCTTCCTTTCTTCCTTCCTTCCTCTTTGGTAGCCCAGGCTTGCCTCACACTCACAGTCCTCCTGCCCCAGCCTCCCAAGTGCTGGGGTTACAATTGTGCACCACTGTGCCTGTCTTCTGGAACACTTTCTTTTGAGTTTGGTGTGCCTGTGGGTCTGCTCTCTTCTCTGTTCTGCCTGCATGACTTGTGCCTCCACGTGGCCCAGATTATAAACACCAGTGCATAGGTGGGCATTATAATCTTGCAACAGCATTCAGATATAAAGATGGTCATCCAGAAGCTTGTCATGATAGTGCACACTTCTAATACCATCTGTTCAGGAAGTGTATTAAGTCCATGAAACAGTAACATATAGCCTTCAATATTCATATTATCAACAAATCTCTAATCAAAACATCTAACAGCTTAGCAGTTTTAAACTTCATACCTGTGCCAAGTTTAAATTATGTGGTTTTCTACCTTTTCCTGCCCAACATACTGTTCCCTCTCCTCTGCCTTGCTTTTCTTGTGTCTTAATGGTTCTGGTGACAGTCAGAATTTCCTGTCCTGATCAGTCTTTATATACATAACGTCCATCCTCCATGATGTGTGCATGACTCAAATGTGGCCAATCAAAAGTCTTCACCACCGCTTGACAGAGTGGCTCAAGTGGAATAGCACACCTGCATAGCAAGTATGAAGCCCTGAGTTTCAAACCCCAGTACTACCAAGAAAAAAAAAAAAGTCTTTACCACACTTGGCATGGTGGCACTTGGGAGGCCGATACAGGAGTATTGTTGAGTTCAAGGACAGCGTGAGCTACATAGTGAGACCCTGTCTCAGAAAAACAAAACAAAATCTTCATTTAGAGTCTCAAGACTGAAAACCAAGTGGGGAAGTCTTTTGTTCCTCAAAGATTTAACAGGGATGGTATTCACATGGCACATCCTGAATCCCTATGCCCTGGGTGATTTACCCACAGTGGAAGCCATTTGTAACAGGATAGAACAGCATCTAATAAAAGGAGCAGCAATCCTGGGAGAAAGTCCTGGTGGCAGTGGAGTCTGTAGCTACCCAGTAATCACCAAATTTCCTTTCTGCTTGAAACTGATTCTATCTGGGCTTTCCACATGGTGCAAGAAAGCAAGTTATCCTTTTTTATTTATGTAGGTGAAGATGGAGCTGGAAAAACAAGCTTGATAAGAAAAATTCAGGGAATAGAGGAATACAAGAAAGGAAGAGGATTGGAATATTTGTACTTTAATGTGCATGATGAAGACAGGGATGGTAAGTGTCACTTATTTGTAACATAAGCTTCCTGAAATCTCTTGAGAGGCACTGCTGCTCACCTTAGTCTCTGGTTTGTCATGTTTTACTAGGAGTTCTGCAATGCTGTGCAGGTCAGTAAGTAGTTATGTTTGGGCATACTTTTATTGCTCTAGAGTTGGGATTCATATAGTGATACAGTTAAGCATATTAGGGAGTTCTGGTGTGTTGATCAGTGTTAGTCTTCTTGCTGTCCTTAAAGAATCTCAATTTTTTTTTTAGTTCATTCTCCCTCAGATAATGGTTGTTTTTCTCACTCTCTTTTTACCTTCTTCTCATTTTCTGATAATAATGTAATCTTTTCCCCAGCTGTTTTCATCTGCTCAGCCATTTTTCCTTCTAGATAGATCCCTAGCCTTCTTATTTTTATATAAGATTACTTGAGTATGCATGGCTGTATCTGCTGATGATAAAATATAATCATGTTATTTGGTATCTTGGATTTGGATTAAGAAATACGAAGTAGAGGATGCTTGGGTTGTCCATTAAATCATTTTAGGCCTTTACTGAATTGGTAGATGTGAACTAAAAGTCATCTTATGGAGATGCCCTAAAATATACCAAGTTGTTAGTGCGATGGTAAAATGGCTTAATAGTTTTGCCTTGGATCTTTTGTGTTTTGTAGATCAAACAAGGTGTAATGTATGGATCTTAGACGGAGACTTATATCACAAAGGGCTCCTTAAATTTTCACTGGATGCCATTTCTCTGAAGGACACTCTAGTTATGCTGGTTGTTGATATGTCGAAGCCTTGGACTGCTCTGGATTCTTTACAGAAATGGGCAAGTGTTATTAGAGAACATATTGACAAATTGAAAATTCCTCCTGAAGAGATGAAAGAAATGGAACAAAAATGTGAGTAAGTCTAGATAGGTATTTCAGATATCAAATACATCTTAGCTGACTATAATAATCATTTTTTTACTATGAACAAGGTTTAATGTTTTTGAAATTCAGTTTTGAGTACTAGGTTTTAATATAGTTGTAAATTGGAAACATAATAATGATAAAATTCCTTAGTATAGGTGCTTTTTCTTCTTGCCAAAAGGCTATGTGTGTTCATTTTGAAAATAGCTTTTTAAGGGTGAAAAATTTTTAATTTTTCTCAGTTGCTCGTTTTTAACAGTTCCTTAGTAATCGTATCAACTTTGTCTAAATGAAATATGCCTGAAAAGTTGTTACGAACATATATAAAAAGATATTAAGCTGGTTTTATTATTTATAAGTACATTATTATTGTTGTTGTTATTATCATTAATTTTTTTGAGGCAGGGTTTCATTATGTATCCCAGTGTTGAGCTGGGCAATCCTCCTGCTTCCTCCTCCCAAGTGTTGGGATTACGAGTCTGAGCCGCTGTGCCCTGCTAACATAATATACGTTGTATTTGCTCATGTGAATTGGTGATTTTCATGGAACTTACAGGATCATTTCTAGCATTGTAAACCAGTAACATTTTTTATTTCACTGGGAGTTCTTCACTTGCCAGTATTGCACTTTCTCTAAGAAAATATTTAAACCAGGTGCAGTGACTTAAGCCTGTAAACCTAGCTAGTCAGGAGGTAGAGATCAGGAAGACTGTTTTGAGGCCATTCGTGGCAAAAAGTTCACAAGACCTCATCGCAACCAGTGGCTGGACATGGTGGCATGTGCCTGTCATCCCAGGTAAGCAGGGAAACATAAATAGGAGGATTACCATCCAGGTCAACCTGGGCATAAAGTGAAACCCTGTGTCAAAAGAAAATCAAAGCAAAAGGACTTGGTGGCGTGACTCAAGTCTAGAGTGCTTGCCTAGGAAGTGTGAGGCCCTGACTTCAACCTCCAGTAGAGCTCAAAAAAAAAGAAAAGAAAATACTTAGATTAAATGCTTTGTTACTGTTAGCTATTAATAAGTTTTAGGGGGAAATTGATAGCTTACTAGAATTTAAATGTAAGGAAACAATACTAAGTTAAGAGAATGTATGTCCTAAGCCATTGAAAAATATATCTTAAAAAAAGAAATCTCTTTTTGAGACAGGATCTCACTCTCCCAAGCTTCCTGACTCAGCCTCCTGAGTGCTGAGATTATGGCCAGCTGTTTCTAAATGCTTTTAATCTGTAGTTTTCCTTCACAGATGACCACTGCTGGTGTTTATGTTTTCATCCCCATATTCCCTGCCCAATCCAAGTTTATACTAGAACAGTTCTCAATCTCTGGTCCCTGGACCAGTAGCATCATTATCAGTACTGGGAAATTGGTAATTTGTTAGAAACACAGATTCTTCTCACCCCAGACTATTCAGTCAGAAACTCTTAACCAGGCATGGTTAAGAGTATAATCTTAACCCCCTATAGCCCCAGCACTTGGGAGCTGTAGGCCAGCTGGGGCTATAAAGAAAGTAATACCTTGTCTCAAAAAGAAAGAAAGAAAAAAACAAAAACAAAATACCAACTGTTGAGGTAGAGCCAGTAATCTAATTTAATGACTGCTTTGGGTGATTCTGATGCATAGTACAATTTGGAAGCCACTGTTGAATCTCAAATTCTGACCTCTATTAAAGGTAAGAGCCCACAGAGCTGCTAATGGTATATGTGTCTGTGTTCCTGGAGGAATCATACTCAACTGTTCAAGATTCCCTCTTCCTTGACCTTAGGTAAATTCAAAAGTTTTCCTCTGGGAGTCAGTATTCATAATCCAAAAATGATCTGGCTCAGAATTACTTTTGTTTAAAAAAAAGTAACCTTTTTCCAAGTTATGTAAGTAATATACATAAAATATATGTTAGTGTATTTTTCCTGGTATTTTCTTTTATTTCTAAGTTGGAGTCATACTTTGGTTTTCTTCTTTTCTTTTTCTTTTTGCGGTACTGGGGTTTGACCTCAGGACCTACACCTTGAGCCACTCCACCAGCCCTTTTTTTGTGTAGGTTTTCCAAGAGAGGTTCTCGCAAACTGTTTGCCCTGACTGGCTTCAAACCAAAATCCTGATTTTTGCCTCCTGAGTAGCTAGGATTACAGGCGTGAGCCACTGATGCCCCACTCTCTTACTCTTAATAGGATTCTTTTCCTATTGTGTTAAATATTCTTTGAAAATTTGCTATTTTATATCTCTCTGTAACATTTCTTTCTACACTGTTTTTTTGTACATTCTGAGGTTTGAACTCAGGGCCTCATACTTGCTAGGCAGGCACTCTACTACTTGAGCCACTCTGCTAGCCCTCTTACACTGTTTTAGTCCTATGCAGTGGATAATTTTTCAGATATGTTGTTTTACTCTTAAACATGAAATTCCTGTGTGTATGCATCACTGATTGTGTCCTTGAGAATTCTTAGAAAAGGTAATTTCTAAGTCAAAGTAAAGCTCTTGATACATTCACATTTTCTTTTTAAGTGATGATTTTGATAATGTCACAAATTCTAAAAGTTTATCAGCATTAGTAAACTTTTACTAATTTTTACCAGGGTTTAAGAATGAATGTGGCCCAAGATTGAGCCTGAATAAAGGGCTTACAGAAAGGAAGCTAATACTAGAAAGTCACCTAGCATGTGCTTTTTAGGTAGTCGCTCTACTACTTGAACTATGCCCCCCACCCTAGCAATGTATTATTAAGTTAGGGAATTTTTTTTTTCCTCTCATATCTATTTTTCTTTTATCCTTGTGGTGCCTTTCCTTTCAACGTAGAAAGTCAGAGCTAGATTGTGACTTGCCCAAAGACTTTTGCACAGACTAAGCCAGGCCTACACAGAGCCCCACTCTTTGGAGCCAAAAGTATAGTATTGTGCTCTAGTATCATTGATGTGGATCTGTTGCTTGTATGCTCTTCCTTGAAATATATTTCTCAAATCCTTTTTTTGCTTTTCTTACATGACATTAAGTATAAACCCTAGTAAAATACATATTTAAGTTATGGCAGAAATAGCTACCTGCTGAAATAAAGCAATTTCTAAATCTATTTACTTTGATTTTCAGTGATTAGAGACTTCCAAGAATACGTAGAGCCAGGAGAAGATTTCCCAGCTTCTCCTCAGAGAAGAAACACTGCAGCACAGGAGGACAGAGACGACAGTGTCGTTTTACCTCTGGGTGCGGATACACTTACACATAACCTGGGCATTCCGGTACTAGTAGTTTGCACAAAGGTTAGTTTGCTTCCTGGAGATACTCACCAAGGCTGAACAACTGTTTTGTTTTCCAGGTTTTATTTTTTTTTTTTTTCCTCTCATATCTATTTTTCTTTTATCCTTGTGGTGCCTTTCCTTTCAACGTAGAAAGTCAGAGCTAGATTGTGACTTGCCCAAAGACTTTTGCACAGACTAAGCCAGGCCTACACAGAGCCCCACTCTTTGGAGCCATCAGTATAGTACTGCATTGTATAGTATAGTATTGTATAGTATTAGTTTTCCTAGATAACTTTTTTTTTTCTTTGAGGCAGGGTTCATTCTCCTGCCTCAGCCTCTTGAGTGCTGGGATAATTTTTTTTTAATCCAGTAGACATAGTGTAGAATACAGAATGATGCTCTCATGTTGCTTTTGTGACTTTTTTTCCTGTTCACAGTCATTTATAAAATCATCTATAAAAAATCAGTCATTTATTTAAATATCACCTATAAAATATTGCCCTAGAATTAATATAAATTGCTTGTATCTATAGAAGATGAGTCTAGAGTCCAGCTCTCACGAGCATAGCGGGAAGTGGGCAGAGCAAGAGGTATAGCTTTCAGTTCTGATTTCCATACCCCAGAAAATTCTGGTGCAGCAAATGACAGTGTTCAGGGAAGGACGGTTGATGTTGCTTCTGGTGCCACTTACCCGAAGCATTGTTATGGTTATGCTATGCTGCTTCTGATTCCTCCATCACATTATGAAACTACTAGTTTTCCACATCAGATGCTTGTGTCTGAATAATTAAACTGCAGGCCTGCTGATGTCTTTTGTCTGTGATGAATGAAGGATTGTTTCCTGATGTCTGACTTTCTGCCTGCTCAGAAGACTCCTTTTTTGGGGAGAGGATAAATTTCTTCAGCCTTCTTTTGGGTGTTTTTTGTTTGTTTTCTGGTGAGTCTTGCTATATAGCTCATGTTAGCCTCATACTCAAGGTTGTCCTGCTCAGCCTCCTGAGTGCTGAGATTATAGATGTGTGCCACCACACCTGGTGAATTTTTTGTGGTCTGCATCATAGTAGAAAGTGTTAACTTCAAATATTCTGTTTGTGATTGAATTTCATTTTCCATAATTTCAATTAAAATTCATGGTATAAATCAATTTAACAGAAATTGATAAAGTGGTTATTTTTCAACATTACACTTTATTAAGCCCCTAGTATCAGAAGAGTATGTACTTAAAATGGACTTTTGTTTTTTTTGCAGGTCTTTGCACATGCTAGGAAACTAAATTCCCAAGCTAAATTCGACTTAAAACAACTTGGAGCACCTATTATGTATAGTTAATATGCATTTATCAAGGGTTTCTGATTTATTAAAAGGTGCCAACAAGATCTTTATTATCAATATTGTTAATTTGCTGGGCATGTAACCTCACATGCCTGTAACCCTAGCACTTGGGAGGCAGACGCAGGAGGATCTCCAGTTTGAGACCAGTATGGGCAAAATGTTAGTAAGATTATACCTCAATAAAAAAGCTGGGCGTGGTGGCATGTGTTTTTCATCCCAGCAAATCATGAGTAGGATGATCAAGGTCCAGGCTTGCTTGGCAGGAAAAGCATGAGACCTTAACTGAAAAATAAATAAAGCAAAAATGTCTGTGAGTATGGCTCAAGCGGTAGAGTGCTGCCTAGCAAGTAAGAGGCCCTGAGTTCAAACTCCAGTACCACCAAAAAAAAAAAAAAAAAAAAAAATCAAACCAGAAGATATCTACTGCATTTTATAAAATCTTAAGACACTAACAGATGTACATCAGTTTATAAGCTTTTAAAATGTGTCAAGGAACAAGAACATGTATGTCCTCGAATAGATGAAAGAGTGGTGGTTCAACTTCATCAGTTTAAAGACTGCAATTGGATGTTCAGGGAGACTTAAAGTTTCTTGCCTTAGGTCCAGACCCTCTGATCTCAGCTAAATTTTTTTTTTTAAATTGGTGGTGGTGCTGGGGATCAAATCCAGGTCCTTGCACATACTACGTAAACACTGCCACTGAGCTGCATCCTCAGGTCCTTGTTTCAGTTAAAATCTACCATGCTTCACCAAAAATATCATTAAATATCAACAGTATAATAACTGAAGTATCTTTAGTTACTTGAAATACAATTCTCAATATTTTATAAAATGGGCAAACAAGCATTTGTCATGATTACACAAGAAGATTGTTCTAGGATTGGGACATGGCTCAAGTGACAGAGTGCTTGCTAGGAAGCCCTGAGTTCAAGCCCTAGTACTGCAAAAAAGACTGTTCTATAATGTACGTATGTGTGACAAAACCCTAAACTAATATAAGGTACAATGAGCATTATTAAGGGCTTATTTTTGTATTTCACACCTTCAATTCTGAAGGGTTTGGATGTCATGATTGTTTAACTGACTTCTTTGTATTTTCCTTAATATTTTCCCACACACAGCCCCATTTTGAGATAGACTGTATTGAGTGAAGGAAGCTCCAGGTTATTGAGGATCACAGATAGACAGGAGCAGAGAGGACAGCAAGAGGGGACTACACGATACGTGAATGTGTTCTACAGAACTGGAATAGAGTTATTTTAGGATGTGATTAGTTGAGTTCTGAGTATGACTTAGTATAAGTCTGACTTATTATTTCTTCTTGTACTCAAACTAACTTTGTGATGTTTTGATCAGATTCGATGACTTAGAAGTCAGAACTTTTTTAAAGTTACTCAGACTTTTGGGTTTTTTTTTTTTTTTGCAGTACTGGGGTTTGAACTCAGGGCTTTGTGCTTCTTAGGCAGGTGCTCTACCACTTGATCTATGCCTCCAGCTCTTTTTGTTTTAGTAATTTTTCATGTGGGATCTCACATTTTTTTGTCTGGGCTGGTCTAGACCTTGATCTTCTTACTTAGGTAGGCCTCCTGCATAGCTGGGATAACAGATATGCACCACCATGCTCAGTGATTTTATTGAGATGGGGGTCTCACTATCTTTTTGCTAGGTTGGCCTTTGAATCATGATCCTCCCAGTCTCCAATCTCTGCCTCCTGAGTAGTGTGAGCTGCCTATCAGGACTAAGACTTAAGTCTTTCAACTAGAAGTCTCAGTTATTCCAGGTCCTGCTGCTCAGTCACCATAGCGTAGTGTAGTTTTGTGATGTTCCCTCATCTAAAATGGAACTGATTATTATATTTAATTTTTATTATTATAATGTTATTATAACATTTTAAATTATTTTAACTCAACAGTGTGATGCCATTAGTGTATTGGAGAAAGAACATGACTACAGAGATGAACATTTTGATTTTATCCAGTCACATATCCGGAAGTTTTGTTTACAGTGTATCCTTTTAATACATTTATTGATGCAAGGTTCCCTGGTTTGGTTTTTAAACTAAAGGAATTATGATAGACTTTAGGAATTCTATAAATGTTACTCTTCTTCGGTCCCTGACTGGAAATTTTGTTTAGTTCCCAAGTTACTTATATTTGAGTATTTTGAGGTATGTTACTGGAACATAGATTTGTACTGCTCACTGCTCTACCAAAACCCTGGAAAAAATAGAGAAGATTTTTTTTTGTCTCATCTCCATGGGGCCGAGTGTCTCAGGTATGCTAAGGGTTTTTGCGGGGGACACAAAGGGGATTAATAGGCAGAAAACCCTTGTGCTGGGCAGGGTTTTAATTTTTTTGTTTGTTTTTTGTTTTTTTGAGACAGGGTTTCCTATGTAGCCCAGGCTGGCCTCAAACTCAGGATTCTTCTCCTTTGTCTTCCCCAGTGCTGGGGTTATAGTCACACCCCACACACCGGAGGGGAGTCCTTTTCTCCAAAACTGGCATCATCTTGGAAGACTGTAAGGACTTCGAGCTCTTTTTAGACAGACACGTTTTCTGCAAATCTATTCATATGACCTGAGGAGAGGAGGGCACATTACCAAGGCCTCTCCTCAGAGTTTAGAAAACCATGTGAAAGGGATAGGTGATTAAATTAGGGAAAAATTAGAATAGAGGCAAAAGTAATGACTTCATCTGCTTTGTTATAGAATGAAGGCAAATAAAGTACTGTGTTTAAGAAAAGTAATTATCAGTTGTAGTTGGAAAATTCTAATGCAAAGATATTATGGTTATACCTGATTAATAACTATTGGGTGGTAGGGCAAGAATAATCTTCAGGTTTGTGTATTTTCATTTTTAATTTTGGTATGTTATCTTCTTCACATATAGCTTAATTTAGTAGTTTCAAAACCTAGTTGTGTTTATTTTGGACCTATTAGATTGCAACATTCCAAGGTGAAGATGGAGAATCCATTTTTAAAAACTTCCTTGGTTATATTTATGACCACAAGATTGGAACCTGTTACAGGGAGTCTTTTTAATCTTTAATCTAGGTTGCAAAGATTGGGTGAGCCAATGAGTAACATGTACAACTAAAAGGGAGGACATGAGAGTTGTGTTACTGAGCCCCTGGCCACAAGGCCTGGCATGAATCCAAATGCTCCCCCAGTGAAGAGAAAAATGACACAATATACAGAAGTAGAAAATGAATTGATTTCCAGTTCTGGCTAAAACTAGGGAGAAATTCTCACCTTGTTCATAGCACTGCTAGAGCTTATGGAAAAGGTGAAACAAAGCCAGGAAATACGAATATGGAGATAGTCTTTCTCCTGGGAGATGTGTCTTTTTCTGACATCAGGGCTCCTATGAGTGACCCATCTTCACTACCGGCATAAAATTTTCCTAGAGAAATCCTAATTCCTAGGCCTTTTACTCCCATTAAAATCCCCCACACAAACTTTTTTGGGGGCAATACTGGGGTTTGAAATCAGGGCCTCACACCTGCTTGAGCCACTCCACCAGCCCCACCCCCTCAACCTTGAATTTGTGGTGCTGTACTGTATATGTGTACATTCTAGCAAAGGCACCTGAAGCACACAGGTTTTTAAAAAGGCGCCACATACTGTTTTTGAAAGAAATACCATGAGGACTGGAGGTGTGGCTCAAGTTGTAGAGCAACTGCCTAGCAAGCACAAGGACCTGAGTTCCAACCCCAGTACTACTCAAAAAATAAATAAAAAGTAAAATGCAAGTAGGAACCAAGGTCAGAAGATAATTTAATAGCTCCCCCTAGTAGAAAGATAGGTAATATGTGTAAGACCCCTCTATTAAATGATGTCTGTTTTGGGAGGGAGGGCTGATAATATGTTCCATTTTGATCTTGACATACCTCCCTTCTTACCTCTGAGTAAACTTTTTCTTCAAAGGCATGGTGATTAATCATTCTGTGTTCTGGCCCTCATGGCTAGTGTTTTGGTAGTCAGTCTGATCATGTGTTGGAGAAGGTGATAGGTGGCTGGAGTCATTGTAAAATTTTTCTTTTTTGCCAAATTTGAGCAACAAAAGAGGTTTAGAAAGAGTGGCTCTTAGGCACATGCCACATAACTGCAGACTTTGAATACAGGCTATAACAATTATTACTTATTGCCAAGTGTGGTGACTCAAGCTAAGATTACAGAATCCTAGCTATTTGAGAGGCAGAGACCAAAAGGATTATAGTTCAAGGCCAGTCTGGGAAAAAGTTTGTGAGACCCCATTGTAACCACTGTGGTATGTGCCTGTTACCTCAGCTGTGTGGAGAATCAAGGTCCAGGCCAACCTTGGGCATAAAGTAAACCCTATCTCAAAAATAATGCAAAAAGTTCTTGGTAGAGTGGTTCAAGTGGTATAGCACTCGTTAGCAAGCATGAGGCCCTGAGTTCAAGCCCCAATACTGAAAAAAAAAAAAAAAAGAGAATTATTACTTGTTTACCAATTAAGAACACGCATAGGTTGGGAGTGTGGCGCAAGTGGTAGAGTACCTGCCTAGCAAACATAAAGCCCTGAGTTAAAACCCCAGGACTTTCAAGAACACATGTACATTATCATATTTTAAAAGCACTTTGCAATATGACTTAATTTTTAGGTGTTACAAGCAGTATAGTCTAGAAAACTCATATTTCTTACATTAAATCTTAATTTTAAAATGAAGATGAATAAAACAAGATTGCCCCTTACTGACTTATAGACATGGGTTATTTAATGTAAAATGACTATAACAACATGGTAGGTAGGTAGGTAGATAGGTAGAGAATGTTTAGTAACTTAGTCCAGTTTTAGCTATTTTTATAGGATATTAAGACAGTCATGATAGAGAGCATTGTATTAGAATCATTAGGTTTTTAAAATTTATACAACTTTTTTTTTAACCAATAAAACATAAACAATAGTAACTCATTTAAACCAGAGTTTAAAAAGCAGGTACTTAAATAAATTTTAATTTATTAATTTTTATTAATTTTCTTAAGCAACTAAAACCTCAACAGCAGAAAACACAAGAAGTTATCTTGATAACACAAATATCTTTGTGTTTCTTTTTTTTAGTGGTACTGACATTTGAACTTAGGACCTCACCCTTGCTAGGCAGGCACTATCCTACTTGAGCTATGTCCTCCCAGCCCTTTTTTACTTTAGTTATTTTTTAGATGGGGGCTTTTTTTTTTTTTTGGCCTGGGACCATTCTCAGACTGAGATCCTCCGACCTAGCCTCCAGTGTAGCTGGGATTACAGGTATGAACCACCATACCCAGCTTGCTTTGTTGAGATGAGATTTTGCTGCTAGGCCTGACCTTGAACCATGATCCTCCCTATCTGCCTCCAAAATCCTTGTTCTTTAAAGTTCTTTTATAAAACTTAATAAGAACAGATCAATATTTTAAGAAAGCCTAGTTATAAACAAAGAACTAAAAAGCCCTATAAATAACCTTTTGGTTATAGCCACCTTAATTACATATAAATCTTCTCTTAAAAGATTTGTCTTTTATAAGCCTGCTATAATGGTGTGAAACTTTTGTAACTCTTAGCTCTTTACTTAGAATGAAACATAATCCTTAGATTGTTATAAGATGAAATCAGAAAACATATATATGATATTAGTACTTTTTAAAAATCATCATTTATTTCTTTCCCAGTTTTTTTTTTTTTTTTTTTTAATGGACAGGCCTGGGATAAGGTAAAGAAAAACCAAATAAAATTAGATTTCTTGAGATTAAGAATTATCATATCTTAAACAACACTTAATTACAAATTCTTTAGAATTCTGTTTATGTATAAACTTAGTGTATAACCAATTAATATATGGACTTATATTTATTCTCTAAACTAGGTACCATTTATAGATTAGATACATTGCTTATTTATTAAAAGCATATCTTGGTTATAAAAAGCCTAAGTGTTTTTTTTTTTTTTTAGCCTAAGTGTTTTGTCTTCAGATCTTTTTTAACCAATGCTATTTGACAACATAAAGATATTTTCTGTCATACAAAGAACTGTGTGTATTTGTATATAAACTTGTGAAAATCTGAAGAAAAGTGGACAAAAATTTCTAATGACATTTTCACCATGTTGCATCTATCAGAGACTCACTAACATGTAACATTTGTGTATATATGAATTTGCAATATTAGAGTATGTATATCGTAAGAACATTTTCTGTTATATATCACAACATAAAAACTGAGCCCAGTGAGCCAGTGAACACAGAGAAGTGAACTCTCATAGTGCATTTTGCAGATAGTACACCAGTACCTAGCTTCTATTGATTTTATCTTTTCACTGCAGTTGGGCAAAATCGCTCATATTCTACAAGTAATAAATTTTAAAAATAAAAAGAGGGCTGGGCCCTGGTGACAGATGCCTGTAATCCTAGCTACTCAGGAGGCAGAGATCAGGCCAGGCAAATAATTTGTGAGACCCTGTCTTGAAAAACCTATTACAAAAAAAGGGCTGGCGGAGTGGCTCAAGGTGCAGGCCCTGAGTTCAAAACCCCAGTGCCACCAAAAAAATAAATAAAAATGAAAAGAAACTTCAAAACCAAAAATTTTAAATTCCTGCACACATACATTACCAAGCTCAGGAGACACAGAGACACTCCACCAGCCCTGCCTTATGGTCAGTTGTGTTTAAATCATTGTGTGAGCTGCTGAGTGTTTCCCTGCCCTTCATTTTGTGAAAATCTGCCTCCCCAAAAGCAAATGGCGCCCAAAAACCAAGTGAGAATTTGGAATCTGTTGAAAGGTGCATGTCTTCAGTGGTAGTCAGGCAGCGTTACGGGAAAAATGAATCTAATACTCGCCATACAGTACTGAATTCTACGCATCCTCCACCAGGGTCTCCATGGAACTCAGGATCTCACACTTACTAGGCAGGCACTGTACTACTTGACTCACACCCTAGCCCTTTTTTGCTTTAGTTATTTTTCATGCAGGGTCTTGTGTTTTTGTCTGGAGCTGGCCTCACGTTGTAATCCTCCTGTCTATGTTTTCATAGCTGGGATTATAGGTATGCATCACTATGCCTGGGCCTGTTCTGTAAGTCTTAATTCCTGGGATTCATAAAAACTACAGATAGTAGTGCAAACCATTTTTGTTGAATAAGTGTCAAAGTTTTTGGTCAACAATATCCCCTCTTTTATGGAGTTTAGGAAGGTTAAAAATAATTTTAAAAAATAGTCCTTTAAGACAGGATCTCACTATGTAGTTCTGGCTGGCTTTGAACTCACCTTCCTATCTCAACCTTCTCAGTGCTTTAAGTATGGTAGTTGTGTCAGTAGTACAAATTTACCTTTGTTTTTTAGCTTAATGAAATATCTACCCTCCTAAATTAAATTATGTATGGATTATTTTACTTGCCTTGTAACTCATATGTATTTTTGTACTTTTTAAATTATTGGTAACTATTATATATGCTTATAAGTTTTTTAAATTAATGTGCCTATAGATGAAAAGATTAAGCTGAGTAAACACAGTTTTATGGTACTTGTTTATGGAATTTGTCCAAAATTTTCTTTAACGATTTTATTCAGATGGTGCAGCACTTATTTATACTTCAGTAAAAGAAAACAAAAATATAGATTTAGTATATAAATACATCGTTCAAAAACTATATGGATTTCCCTATAAGATTCCTGCTGCTGTTGTGGAAAAGGATGCAGTATTTATGTGAGTGTTCTCCTAAATACATTTTACCACAGTTTATTGCTACTACTAGGTCATGAGTCGTCATGTTCAGTTTTGAGATGACACAGTAAACTTGTCATGGTGAGTGGGTGAGCATCTTTTCTTAGATCATTTATTTTTTTTCCATGCCACCATCTTGGTGATTAGATTAGTTATTTATAACCTATCTTGTTGTGTTTATCATTACCTTTTAGTTTTATTGCTGGTCTTTTTGAAAGATCTTTGCATTTTAGCTGAATTGTCTGTTGAGTGCCTATATTAGTATATCAACCTATTCTCTAATTGGCTATGATATATAATGAACAAATATGTAATCTAGACATGCTTTTAGAAACTATCCCAATGGGCTCAGGGTGTAGCTCAGTGGCAGAATGCTTGCCTAGCATGCATGAAGCCCTGGGTTCCATCCCCAGCACCGAAAAAAAAAAGTTACCTAAATAAAATTGGGAGATGATAATTGCTGCCCTCCTCCTAGAAAAGACTATAATGACATTTAAGAACAAAAGATTGATTATTCATTTTAAGTAGAAGCTAGTAAAATAAATTGGACATTATAATAAAAAGCCAACTCATTTTCCGTAATTGGTCAAATTAACTTCATTAAAATGTTCACTTTACATGGTCATGGATTGAATGAAAAAATGATGATATACGTGCTTGAGAATTTATGGTGTGCATTTCTTTCCAGTCCAGCAGGGTGGGATAACGATAAGAAAATAGGAATATTACATGAAAATTTTCAAACATTGAAAGTAGAAGATAATTTTGAAGACATCATAACTAAACCACCTGTCCGAAAGGTAACAGTTTTGTAAATAGTACTATATTTAGGCTCTTAAACTAAGGGGGTAGTCCAAAACTAGAAGTTCATAGTTTTGGGTTTTTTTGTTTTGTTTTGTTTTGTTTTGGTTCACATGGAGTGAACTCAGGACTTTATGATTGTAAAGCAGGCACTCTACCACTTTAGCCACACTTCCAGTCCATTTTGGTCTGATTATTTTGGAGGTGGGGGTCTCCTGAGCTATTTGCCCATTCTGACCCCGAACTGTGATCCTCCTGGTCTCAGCCTCCCAAGTAGCTAGAATTACAGGCATGAGTCACTGATGCTCAGAACTTACAGGAGTTTTTAAGTATAATTTAGGTGTTTCCTCTCTTTTGGCTACACTGGGGTTTGAACTCAGGGCCTCATGCCTTCTAGGTAGTCCAGCCCTTTTTTGTGGTGATACTTTCAAGATGAGGTCTCGAAAACTGTTTGCCCAGGGCTGGCTTTGAACCATGATCTTCCTAATCTCTGGCTTCTAAATAGCTAGGATTATAGGCATGAGCCACTGTGATCAGCAATTTAGATGTTTCTAATGTATGTAGTTCACATAAGGATTTATCCTAGTAAACTGTAGGTCAACTGTTCAATCACTAGTCTCAGCCTTTGGTATATTTATATTAGCAAATGTTAGTGCTAAGTGTGTATTGTAATGTACTTCTTTGGAAATCATACCTTAACATGAGTGAATATATGGATCTTGAACACTTTGAATCGTTTCTGCCTAGAAACTGAGCTTTCCAATCTACAGCACAGCCAAGAACCATGAAATCATTGCTATAATAATTTTTTTTAATTTCTGCCCACTGAGGCAGATCTTGAATGTGTTCCACATTATTAGTTACTCACATTAATCCACAACTGTCCAAGAGTTTACACTTTTGTTCAGGTTGAGTCTTGACTTAGATGTTATTCTATGACTATTAAGTCAGGTTCTTCTTGATTTCATGTTAAGCAATACATGATGCTCTATAGTTAGATATTGAAGTTTCTGAAAAGTTGTATAAGAACAACTTCTAATTTAAACAGACTTCAGGAAAAAATCATTTCAATCCAACATATACTAAGACCTTATTTAAGAATCCAAACACATTATAGACCATCTTATCTTTTTGTGGGTTATTAGTGAGGTCCATGAAGATTTAGTTGACATGTTATTTGGCTTGGATCTCTATTAAGAGACCCCAAAATGATTCCCATTCTTTTACCAACAAAATGCTTTCTTTAGGTTGTCTTTTTACTCATCCTTCAAATACTTATTGAGCACCAAATCAGGTACTGTTTAGGAGCAAGGTGCTAACTAGGAAGGAGGAGAATGCAAATAATAAGCTGTAAGTACACAGGCCATCCATCAGGTGATAAGGGTTATGGAGATAAAACAGGATGCGGAGAGTGAGTAAGAAGACTGGGCCTGGAGAGATAGAGGAATGGGCCTGGAGGAATGGCTAGGGAACCTCTGTGATAAGAAGGGAGAATGTTAGGTCTGAGAGTATAGCTTAGTGGTTGAGCACTTGCCTACCATGTGTGAGATCCTGGGTTCATTCCCCGGCAAAGCCAAAAAAAGGGGAGAAAGTTGAAAGCAGAGAGATCTGAAAGTGTGCTTGCCCCAGTGCAGGAATGTATGAAGACAGGTAGAAAGAGCTGTGAGGTAGGTGAACATAGTACGAAATAAGAGGCAGAGTTAAGATCTTGTGGGGCTTTATCATTAGCCTGATTCAGAGGGGCTGAGCAGGGCAGTGACACAGTCTGACTCCTGGGAAGAAAATAGGCCAAGCACGAGTTGTATAGCAAGAGTGGAAGCAGGAGGCTTTTACAGATCCTTTTACTAATTCCTCAGCTGATAGAAGAGCCACTATATTTTTTTAATCAAGGGAACCAGGGATAAATTGCTATTCACTTGACTGAGGTACTACTGACTGTTAAAAGAGAAAACTCTTATGAAGCAAATTGTACAGTGTAATTACTATGCCTGTGTTTCTCCGGGTGAGCTTTTAAATACAGTACGTACTAGTCACATATGCCTTTTAAATGTGTAGTAAAATAAATCAAATTACTTCCCTTCTTGAATCACACTAGCCACATTTCAAGTGCTGAGTAGCTGCTGGCGACTAGTGATTACTGTACTAAGCTACATGGTCATAGAACATTTATGTCATTGCAGATACTTAGTGGACAGCTCTGCTGTCAGTGCTTGGGTTGGCACCTCACTCATCTAACTAAAAATACAATCGTGGGTAACATTTATGTACTTGAACTGGTTTTAATTAGTCTAACCCAGCACATAAATTATTAATGGTGTTAGAAAAATATGTCAAGCTTGCCCATTTATTCATTGTTCATTTCAGTTTGTGCATGAGAAGGAAATCATGGCAGAAGATGACCAAGTGTTTCTTATGAAGTTACAGGTATGAAATTACATCAGAAGTAGACTTAGTGTAGTTGAATTGATTTGGTAATGATTCTTTTATTTTATACTTTTGAAATTCTTGATAACTAACTATATTATATATGTTTGGAAATTATTTTTTAAACTAATGTGCAGATAGATGTAAAAGTTGTGTATGTGTTTTCTTTTAAAATGCAGGAGTACATGCTATGAATATGTAAACTTGAATTCTTTTGCTTTTTCTTTCAGTCCCTTTTAGCAAAGCAGCCACCAACTGCAGCTGGAAGGCCTGTGGTCAGTATTAGAAATTTTAACAAAATTATTAGAATTCAGTACATATTGTTTTAGGCCACTTTTCTTAATCATATATATCTCACATGGGTATGCTTCAATATAACCGTGAATTTAGAACTCTTCTGGAATTGTGAGATTTTCTTAAAGAAACTATGCTTTTTAGAACATTTAAATCATGTAAGGACCAATTTCGCAGTGTTTTACTATGTATTAGTTACTGTTCTGAGCCATTTATATGTGTTCTTTTACAAATCCTCACAACAGCCTTCAAAGGAGGTACTGCTTTGGCCCCATTTTGTAGATGGGGCAATGGAGACTTAGAAGACTTTGAATGGCTGGTGGAGTGGCTCAAGTGCTAGAGTGCTGGCCTAGCAAACATGAGGCCCTGAGTTCAAACCCCAGTACTGGCCACCCCCCAAAAAAAGTCCATAGAAGACTGAAGCTTGCCACTGGTTCTACTTGGGAGACATAAGTCCAGATCAAAACCCAGCTCTGACTGACATGCATATGCTCATAACCATACTCATTGCTTAATATATTTTTCCTTTTCTACTGAAGGGAAAATTAGTATTTTGGTTTTGTTTTATTTTGTTTGTTTTTTACTGTTACTAGGGTTTGAACTCAGAGCATTATGCTTGCCAGGCAGGTGCTCTACCACTTGAGCCATGCCTCTAGCCCTTTTGTTATTTGGTTATTTTTGAGATAGAATCTCACATTTATGCCCAGGCTGACCTGAACTGCAATTTTTCTGTTTATGCCAGGTGACAGGCATGGGCCACCATGCCCAACATTTTATTGGTTGAGATGGGGTCTCATCAGCTTTTTGCCTGGGCTGGCCTCAAACTTCTGTCTTCCAATCTTCAACTCTTGAGTAGCTGAAATTACTGATGTGAGCCACCTTGTCTGGTGGGAAATTTAGTATTTGAAATGTGATGAACCTTTGGTGGCCTCTAAGAATGAAAACAAGATTGGTAACTTTTGTTAGGCTTGGTGGAATAGATGGGGGATAGTTGCAAAGTAATTTTTTTTCATGTGAATTAGAAAGTTCTAGATTTTAATATTTGTGGCTTTCTTGTTTTTACTGAGGATGCATCACCTAGAGTCCCTGGAGGCTCCCCTCGAACACCAAACAGATCTGTGTCATCCAATGTTGCCAGTGTGTCACCCATCCCTGCTGGGTCAAAAAAAATTGATCCGAACATGAAAGGTATATGTCTCTGGAAGAAAAGAACACAATACATTTTAAAAAGAAAAAAAAGAATCTATGAAAACTCCAACCTAAATATAGCTTTTCATTCATGTATAATACCTTCAAAGCCTTGTCTCTATAGATATAGTTAACCAGATGATAAACCCTTTTGCAGTGTCTTCTTAATTTATTACTATGTCCTTGGTGAAAGTTTTGTTATATTTAATCTTTCTCCTATGGTAGTCACTGGAGAAATTTATTTTTATACTAGAATAGGAAATCTGCAATTAACATAAAAACATGTGTAAGTTATTTCTGTAGGAATAATTGCTATAAGTGGGATTAGTAGGTAAAAAACTTCGTACACTTTTGTGCCTTTTTTTCCTGAGGTATTGGGGATTGAACTCAGCCTCACCCTTACTAGACAGGTGCTGTACAGCTTGAGCCAGTCCACCCACCCCGTTTTTATGCCTTTTGATGTCTTACAAATGGATTTATTCAGTTTTGAGACAGGGTCTGACTATGTAGCCCAGGCTGGTCTTGACCTGACTACATACCCTAGATTGGCCTCAAATTCTAGATCTTTTTCTTGCATTAGCTTCCCAAGTGCTGGGATTATATGCATGAGCCACCATACCCAGCTATTGTAGTTTTACTACAACCCAATTAGAGTTCTTATGAGCCTTTTCCCTAGTATTTCCCTTCTATTTGTATTTCTCTTATGTGAATCGTATATTGCTGTGCTGTGCCTGTTTATCTCTTGGAATTTCTACTGGTTATCAAATAGGATTGGGTAACTTTTTAAATATTTAAGGCAAATATTTCTCAGCAGTTGTAGATTTAAAGAATCCCTTTCAAAAGGGATACAGTAGCATCTAACATGTTTGTTTAAAATGCTTTTGGCCTAAAAAACATAAGATTCTGATTTTAAAAATTATTTTGCACTTGTAAAATTTGCTGTTTGTTTTATGTGTGAGTACAGTAGACCCTTGGTATCCCTGGGTGTGTGGGTCCAAGGAGACCTCTGTTGAGGAAAAATTATGAATGTTCAGTGTGCATAGAGTTTAATACCATAGTGTAGGTGCTTGATTCTTTTTCCCCATAACACTGCCCAACTTCTGCACTGCTTAAAAATCTAAAATTTTCACTTTATTACTTAAATTAAGTGAATCATGTACTCCTTTTGGCTTGGGAGGATTTTCCTAAATTTTACTTTGCTCTTTGGGGAGGCAGACTTTCTCAGAATTAAAGGCAGGGAAACATTCAGCAGATCGCACAATGATTTAAACACAACCTACGATAACGCAGGACTGATTGAGAGCTTCGTCACATGAACTGAGCTTTGTAATGTGTATGTGGGAATTTAAATTCTTTGTTTTGGAATTCCTTTTAATTTTTTTTTATTTATCATTTAAACCACACATGGTCAAATCCCTTTGTAATAAATTTGCAAATAAGGCCGGCTTACTATAGATGAGAAAGTATGAGTACTCAGCTTCAGAGATCAAAGTACACTTGAATTTGGGACATACAACTCTTAATTTTTAAGTCTATTAGTCTTTTCCTATGTGTGATTGCTATAATGATAACTTACAGAAAAATCAGTATTTTGAATAACTCTTTTTTTTTAACAGCTGGAGCTACAAGTGAAGGTGTCCTGGCAAATTTCTTTAATAGTTTGTTGAGCAAAAAGACTGGCTCTCCTGGAGGCCCTGGTGTTGGTGGTGGTAGCCCCGGAGGTGGGGCTGGAGGCGGAAGCAGTGGTTTACCATCATCTGCCAAAAAGTCAGGTATCATTACTTGGAGCAGGTCATTTTGAACACAGCTTTATACCCCATGAAGTTCACTTATTTAAAGAGTACAATTCTATGGTTTTAGGATCTTCACAGAGTT